AGCAAAAAAGTTCTTTAATACGGCGAATTAATCGTTACGCACACATGTACGCACGACTGGCGAAATTACCCGCGATGTTTTCCGGTCGGAGAGACAAGCTCGTAAAAAACCATAGATCGAGTGTAAAAAAAAAAGAGGAGATATTGGTATGAATTAATTACAGATGTATTAAATTAGTAATACGCTGCCATATTCGAGGTCTTAAACGTCTATGTATGAGTGAATTAACGACCGATTGGATCATGTTAACTATTGCGGTAATCAAAATTTATCAAGTCGATAATAAACAAATAATAAAAATTTATATATATTTATATATAATATAACATACTATATAAAAAAACCAACTGGCTGGGCTTTTTTAAAAAAAACCCGAATTTTTTCAAACTCTGTGATCATCAGTACTGTTGTCTACATCCTAGTCCGCATCGTCGTCAGGACATCCGTTGTGTGCCATCGCGTCTTCGTCGTTTCTCTGTCGCGTGATCTACCTTGTCCTCCTCTACCTATACGCCTCCCCAATCGCGTTTAATTAAATCGACCGTGTCCGCGTCCGTCACGAGCACGTGCTAACAAACGCGCCGCGTCACGTCGCCGCGCGCCGGTCGGCGCTCGCTCGCGTCGCTCTCTCGATGGGCTAAAAAGATACAAGCCGGTAATGGTAAATGTTTCATTAGCGCGAGAGCGGGGCAAATTTGCAGAGTGCGGAGTAATATCGTGGGACGAGGATTGCGATAACGCGAGCGTGCGCACGCACGCACACACGCCACACGTCGTAGCGCGCGACATCCTCGTTGAGGACGGGGAGAAGCCGCGACAATCGTCGCCCGCTTTTATCCAATTTATTTCCCGCGCGTGCCCGAGCGGCTTAACGCGTATGCGGCGGCTTTGTATTTACATGCGCGAGGAAGCTCCGGAGATTTGTTCGCGCCTTAGAACAGGTGCGCGCGCGCGGTGACGACCAGGGTTTAACAAGATGGGCCCAACCCAATAAAACCCAATGGGTTTTATTAGGTTGGACCCACTTTAAAAAACCCACCTGTAAAATTACACTAAAAAAATCCAAATAAAATGTAATAATAATATAAATAAAATATTTAATATAAAGTAATATGAATAAATATAATTTACTGTTATAAAACAAAATATATTAAAATTGACAAAGAAATAGATCCTTGTGGAATGTGTATCTCGCGCGTTATGAGACCGCGTAAATAAAATCGTGCAACGTTGCGCGCGTTCTCTTTCTCTCGCTATGTAGAGACGAAATGGATGACGAGAAAGATGAATCAGGAACACGGTGGGTTTTTACTCGTGCACAGGTATACGCCTGTACGGTACGCCCGAGTGCCGAACTGAGAGGAACGCTGTTTATATTTCGATGCGCGGTGATTTCGTTTCGCGCGACGCGCGTTAAAATCTTTCGAGTTACGGTCGACTGAATATGGAGCGTCTTACGCGATAACGATGGAGAAGGAGAAAGGTGCAAGTTCTCTAACCGCGTCTCGTGCTTTCGCATTAATATCGAAAATTTTGCCCGATGAACAGCGGACTAACGCGCGCGTTTGTATAAAGCGTCTTCTCCCCTCCTCTCTCTCTCTCTTCGTGTCTCAAAGAGGTTCGTTAGTTCGCCGATTCAATAGCGGCGAAAAATAAACGAGTCGCCACGCCGGTCGGGGTGCTTAAGGTCCACGGGTAGACGGAAATCGATTTTGGAACTCCGAGAGATTAACAATTCAATCGACTTCGCGATTGCTACCCGGCTCGCAATCGTTTTCGCTCCGACGGGGAACAGGGTAATTTCAGAAATTGTTTACTCTTTCGGAGGTTTGCGCGGGGTAAAATTAAGTATCGGCGCGGCTATTAGTAATCTAAACTCAATTAAACATAAAGCGAAATGGGAAAAAAATGGCACTGCATTTCGCCTGTAACTATATACGGTTATGTACGATTGCAAATGTCTGTATCCCGGGATGAAAAATATGAAAAAACCGCAACCCGGGAAATGTTATGAAGAATCGTGTTACAGGGGAGCCAACAAGTGACGTAAACAATTCGAAACAATCAGCTATTTGTAACATAAAAGATGAACAGCCATCTATTCAGTTTATTGTTATACCATTTCACTTTCGTGACTGTACACATATCCTATATTTTACTCGGGCAGCTATTTTTTTCCTATATATTTAATCACTTTGGTGCCAATCAACAACAGTCACGCATTCGAGAGTTAAATAAAAGCTATTGATAGCGGAATCAACAATAGCGTATAATTGCCTCGGCCGCGTTGAGGAATAAAAAAAACTTTTCAAACGACGGGACGAGCGTGGAGATCGTACGACGTATCTGCAGCCGCGGAGAGCGTATTATTTTTGACATCGCGATATTTTCACCGGTTCGCGATAATTAGCATACCGTCACGTACATAGCATCCGTCCCGTCCGTTATACAAAAATGTTTTCGCGTCACCGCGCGATAACCCCCGACTCCCTCGTTTTTCGCTCTATCATCTCGCGTCGAGAGCGTGGGGATTTAAATTCAGGGGCGCGCGGATATTAACCGGGGTAAAATCGACCCGAGGTCGTCGCGCATATTTCACTCCGCGTTATCGGCTCGCGGTGCTTTAGGAAAATAACAAGGCAACATACGGCGAGGATCAATTATCGGGTTCAAGGAGCAGCAGCAACACAGCAGAGCGGCGGTAGTAGCGGCGCGGGCGCGGCGACGCGGCGGCGGCAGCATCGGGAATAGCACCGCGGGCCACCGGTATTGAATTTATCGCAGCAGCTTATTTCCGCCAGTTGAAAGGAATATTTATACGGGCGCGGGCTAATTTATCTCACAAGGCGTTTTATCGACCATGCTCGATCGGACATTCGTGAGCGGTTTTTATTTTCCCTCTCCTCCCCAATTCTTTCTTTCTCGCTCATCGCGTCATTCGGTATCGCGGCCAAACCTGCAACTTCTATGACTTTCAAATGCACCCCCAAACACGATTTCGACGAGATCTCGCGCGTACGACGGCCATGTACGAGAGAAAGTGAAACACGATCGGACACGCGACGCGACGACACGATCAGATATCCGTCTCTACTTATATATCTAATGAGTAGAATTACAGGGAGGGAGGCGTGTCAAAAAGCACGTGCTCGCAAAGTGTGCAACTTAGGTAAATTTTAAATACGCCTGTCGGCAATGAGATTTTAATCAATTTTACTTTAAACTTTGATCGACAATCTCTTTGATCTCATTTTATTTTAATGGAATTTTGATTTGCAACTTAATACTGGTATTACCAAGTTATGAGAATCAAGTTTTTTTCAAACCCTGTAATAGAGGGGTAAAATTCGACGTATATATATCAGTCGGATCTCTCATAGAAGAGGAAGGAAGGAAGGAAGGAGAGGAGTCGCGCGCGATCGTTGTTGTTGGCTTATTATTTTATCTGCTCACTCGCTCGCGCTGTGATAGCGCATGGTTCCCGACCCGTGTGCGCGTTGTTTTCCCTGCTCAAGCACACAAATATTGGAATTTCCCTGTGTAATAAGGGCTCAACCGAGGAAAAGAATCTGCTAAAGTCAGCCATCCGTGTACGAATGAAAATGCGTTGCGGGAAATACAATACAGGCGTTTCGAAAACGGTGTGAGTCAAAGTTTACGGCGAGTGGTGAATTTAAAGGAGGAATAAAATCGATTCTTCGGGTATAACGGTGCGAGCGACAAGAAAGCATAATTACGCGTTTCATTGGCGGATGTCGTCGAATCCGCTCACTACAACGGCTCTAACTATATAACGTTACACGCGCGGTGTATAAGGTATTAATTATTTAGTATATAGCTGCAATGGTCTTGATCTTGACATTGTACATTGTCAACTCTGTATTGTCGATGTATAACCCGGTGGGTTTTATTTGGTTGGGTCCATCTTGTCAAACCCTGTAATCTATTACGACATCGCAACAAATTTAACCCTACAATACTATACTGTCGTACGGAAGTTTGACGAGTGCAGTAGAAAAGAGTACAATATGCAATTGTACGCGGAAAAAATGATGTTGCTGAATGATTTTAAAATTTAGGATCAAATCTCTGAAAATAATTTTGTTGAACCATCCAAATAATTATATTGGAAATTCAAAAACTGATTGCAAAATTTTTTGCAACATTGCAGCTGCATCGATATTGAGTTTCCAACATAATTATTTTGATGGTTCAATAAAATTATTTTCGAATCTGTATCCAACTAAACTTTATATTGTTTTAGCAAAAATTTTTTCATGTATGATATATTGTTATGAAAAGACAGTGAATTATATACTTCATGTCATTTCAAGACTGACAATGAATTCAAGATTAATAGTGCTTATTCTTTCTTTTTTTTTTAACTTAATTAGATTATTTGTGTTTTTTAAAAAAATCCGGGTTTTTTCAAACCCTGCTATAAACACAAATAATCTAGTCCTTGTATATATTATCTTTCTCTGACTTTTCCTTTCTAATGTGAATACGCTCTTATACTAAGCATATGGAGAGAGAGAGAGAGAGAGAGGAGAGAAAGAGAGAGAGAGAGAGAGAGAGAGTATGAATCACATTGTGTAATTCGAAAAGTGCTCATTACAATGAATCACGTGTGACTCATTGTCGGCAAACTTTGCCGCGCTCATTACGCATACAAATATTATCGTCGAGTTGATCGCGCGCGTCGCGTGCAACGTTGAAGATTGAAATTGTAACACGAAGTAAAACGGGAGTAACTCTCTCGCGATCGTGGCGAGAAGCGCGCTCGCGGAAATGTCTGTCTCTCTCTCTCTCTCTCTCGCTTTCGTCGAGTGTCATAGGCCCCACGTGAATTCGCGAAGTTTCCCACGCAGCTGCAACTGCAGCTGTGCAGGTTTGAAACTGAAGGGAAGGGAGGAAGGGACGCGCGCTAGATCCCGTAGGGTCCACTTGCGCATCGCGCGCGATTCTCCCGCAAGCCACAATTCGAAAATCTTTTGCAGGCGTCGTCGTCGTCGTCGTCGTCGCCCTACGCATGACGTCTCTGCAGATACCGGCGCACGTCGTGCTGAATGAGACGGTGCGCATGCAGTGCAACTTCAACTTGGACAAAGAGCTATTGTATTCTGTGAAGTGGTACAAGGACGGCCACGAATTTTATCGCTATACGCCCAGAGACGCGCCCATGGTGCTAACGTTCCCGGTGCCAGGCGTAAACGTAAACGTGAGTGCGATGAGTTTTGCGAGAGAACTGGGGATGCTTAGAATTGCGCGAGAAATAGAGTCCTGACCTTCTCTCCGTGCAGCGATAGCGAGAACAGTCAGTCTTCGGCAACGTACGTCCTCTTTGTGGAACGTTTATATTAATTGGGGCATTTGATACATCTTTAATTAGTTGGAATTATTTGCGCTATCGAATAACGGACGGAAATATCATTCCTTCAAATTTAAGCATCTCCACTCGTGGAATATTCAGTTCACCTTAATGTTTAATTCGGATTAACTACGGAACGGAATTACGCGATGCTCGAATGAGAAGGAAAAAATGACGTAACAGATTTTTTTAAAAAGAATTTTTTTTTTCTTCGTCTGCATGTTTAAGCTAGAAGCGCACAATGCACTTTGTATATCTCTCACGGCGAGAAGCTTTTTGTTCGAATCTGATAGAATCTGGTTCGTTCACATCGTGCATCGCGCATGCCCTACGCCGGCGCGGCGTCACGCTCGATCGGGCGCAGCAGCTTGTAATCGCGAATTTGCATTCAGAGGGACGAGTCCACCGAGAGTTCGGTTGTCTTGAACAACGTGAATCTGACGAGCTCGGGGAGGTATCGATGCGAAGTGTCGGGCGAGGCGCCCGCCTTTGAGACGGTCTCTGATCACGGGGACATGATTGTAGTCGGTAAGTATTATCATGGAAAGTAAGAAAGCGAATACGTGTGCGATTAAGCTGAGATTGTGTACTGAAAATTCTGAAAAGAGATTTGGAAGCAGCTCTTCTCAGTTTAAGTCGCACGCTTGTATTTAAATCGATGTTATCGACAAACACGAGATCGAAATCTAAACAAATAATCTGAAATATACGGGAATATAAGTATATACAGAGGGAATTTTTATCCTTAAAGTAAACTCTGCGTTAGAGCGCGGTAGTGTTGGTTGTTTCAACACCGTAATTTGCGAGAGGCGAAACTAGATAAATGAATACGTACAGTAAATGCACGCGGTAAGATAAGGGGAATCTAATCCGGGGGGCTACGACAATAGCACTAGAAAGGGTCATGGCAACGTTTCAGTTCTACCTAACGAAGGACCGCAGATAACCGGTGGTCGTTCCAAGTATCAGGTGGGCGATGTCGTTCACATGAACTGCACGTCGGCACCTTCTAAACCACCTGCGCTATTGTCCTGGTTCATCAACGACGAGCCGGTAAGTGAGACACTTAAACCGCTCGGCAAAATAATTGTAACCTTTGTTTCGCGCCTCGCTAAACTTTTCGCGACCAAGCGACACGATAAAATGTGTACTTAAGAAGAAAGAGAGAGAGAGAGAGAGAAGAAAGAAAAATAGAGCACAACGGATTGCCGTATATACAATTTGCTAAATAAATCAAAGCTTCGTTCCGCTATGTTTTCATCGCAGAAAAGACGCGGTATGCGCGTCGCGCGCGTATCCATTTGCGTTAATCTCGAAAAATATTCCCCCCCGATAATGTTTCTAATTTAAAATTTATTTTGATAAAACGCCAGTCACCATTCCAAATTAAAAGTGAAACGTCGACTGTCTCCCGTGTCAACATTGAATATCGATTTCGAAATCCACGGGTATGTTTATGTTTTTTTCATTTATCCGATCCCATTTATGCGTCGTTAATATTTACGGAACTACGCGTCTTTTTTTTTTTTTATTTAGAAAATTCGTTACCGCGTTATACTCCGAGCGAAATTTTCCGCCCTGCGGACGTGTAGCTTAACCGAATTAAAGATTAACTTTAAAATAACTTTACCTCTCTCTCCACAACGCGCGCGTGCGCGTTGCTGATGAATGTTATTATCATTATCGTGCGATAATTAGAATCTTGCTTCGGTGCTTCATGCAATTTCGCGTAATTGGTTTCGCGAAAAAAAATTTGCATCCGGGATCAAAAGAGCGCAATCTCTCGTTCTTAATTGTTTTCAAATTGCATTCTACAGAGAATCGCGTATCTGTTTTCCATCTCCCGCGCGCCTAATTGGTGCCGTCGATGCCGCGTAATCCGGGTCGTGCGCGCGCGCGAGTCTACGTCCCAAATAAAAATCTAGCTAATTGCTCGATACCTCGAATTTTTCCCCTCTCCCCCTTCCTTCCGTCGCGAACAATTTCTTACGCGGAATGCCTCCTCTCCTCCCCCCCTCACCGTTAAAAGTATATAGTCTTTACAAGGGGATCATTGTAAAGACGCGCCGCTTTCAACAGGCCAACACCGACTACCTGATAGGGCCCAATGTCGTCGACGAGGGTAACGGCCTGGAGACCGCGCGACTCGGTCTGAAATTCCGCGTCGCGAACAAGCACTTCAGGCGGGGCGACATGAAGCTAAAGTGCTTGGCCACAATAGCCACGGTCTATCTACAGAGCAACGAGGAGAGCGTGGAGGGCGACGAGAGCGTTCTGAAAACGCCTATAATGGAGAGCCGCGAGACCCGAGCGCAGAGCCACACTCGCGAGGACCTGACGAACGGTAAGCCCTCTCCCTCTCTCCTCCCTCTCTTCTACACCACGGATATCACCCGGTTACTTTCCTACTCTGTATCTACACCGCAATTGCGCAACGTTTCCCCCGTTATCGATCAACACGCCCGAATGCTGAATTCAACTTTTACCTTGTCTAAAAGTTGGCGGCGCAAGTTAAAATAATTAAGGTTCAGTTGCACCGACGTTGATTATTGGTATAACTGTAATTAGCGAAATCGCGTAGCTACAGTCCTGTAGTTTCGTATTATGTGGAAGATAAAAACGTATACGTTCAATTAAAAAGTTATTTCCATCTCCCGCCGTTACTTTTGTTCTCTCGTAACGCTTTCCTTCTCGAGCGCTTTCACGATTTTCTTTTTAACCCCTTGGCACATCCTTCTGCGGCCTCCGGCGATCGCGGTGAATCATCGATTACAAGCAGGGGCGCGAACGATGAAAAATTCACTTAGGTCAAGCTCTCCACGCGCGGGGTTTATAAATCCCCATTATAATACTTGAAGCTCGCCAGATTATTCCACTGTCGGATTTGATATAGAAGAGAAAAGCGATCGTGCGGTCTCGCTCGTGCCGAAATATTATGGCGCATTTTGTTTGTTCCGAACCGGAGATATTTTTACTCTCGCGAACAAAGGCAATTAGCGGGACTTTCTAAGAAAAAAAGATAATGGAAAGAGAAGCTCTAACGAAAGTTCGTCTTTAATGTTCCAGGATCCGCAAGTGTTGCAGTTCAGTGGAGGATCCTCGTCGCCCTGATCACATCGATCGCAGTCGCGCGATAATAACGACATGCGTTCTTTTTTTCCTTTCTTTCTTATCCTCCTCCTTTCTTCCCTTCCCATCACATTGCTTCCTAATCATGGTAAACGTTAGGGGACATCGGTTTCGCCCTATCTACTACTATTAATTCCTAATCCACGTAACCATACATAACGCGATACCGATATGCATATAATAAGTGTACGTCCATTTACGCGTCGCCGCGGCGTACGACAAAGTCTTACAATTGAAGCCCGTATATAGGACTACGCATTGAAGAGATTGAAAATTGCGAATTAAAGATTAAAATTTGGCCAATCGGATAATTTTAATCCATTTCATTCAAATTGATTGAACTCTAATCCCCAATTTGTAATCCTCAATCTCTAATACGTAGTTTAATATATGGGCTTAATGTGCGCTCTAGGCTCTATAAATGTATTGTCTCGTGCCCGCGTGCGAGGCGGACGATTGGCCGCGATCGATATGGATCGCACAGACACCTCAATTAGTAAGCTTACGTTGTTTGTCATCATTTTGACGCAAAATGACGATAAATAATATCAACTTGCTATCTGCGACGCGCGGCGTGATCCGACGCCCCGCGCGTTCGTTTAGATCGTCCAAAGTTTCTCTACAGCGGGACACGTCGCGAAAGCCGGCGTCTTTTGTATCGCTTTCGAGATACGATTCGATGTTATTGTTACTACGATTTTTACAAAGGGATTTTCTATTTTCACGACATATCATTTTCATTCATTCGGCAATCGCGTCCACGCACGACGGCCGGACGGCAATCTTCCCAAAACCGAATGGTCCTTGTAATATTTATTTATTTGATCTCCATAATAAATTATACATGTAATTTTTATATAAATGTATTATTATTTTCGAAATACGTCGTTACCAAATAAAAATATAATCACGGAATTTCACGGTAAGTTAAAGTATTGTAGTTAAAATACGGAACATAACTCTGAAGTAATTCGAACTTAAGAATAAAATTTAATTTTAAATATCGATCGGATCTCTATAAATAAGACAATCGCAGTGATGTATGATAAGAACAATTTTACAGTTCCCTGCTATATCGTCGCGCGATATTTAAAATGAAATTTTATTCTAAAGCTCAAGTTACCTCAAAGTTATGTTCCGTATATTTTAACTACAAAAATTGTTTATTATACATTACTGCGATTGTTACTACAACTAATAAATATAAATTCATAATATAATTATAGAGATGCTTCATAAAATGAACATATTTACAATGCAATATTATCATATATATTGCGAAACTGCATATTTCTTATAGTTAAATTCGACAATAATATAACAAAAATGTAGTTTCAAAAAATCGAATGTTATCGTGTCGTAGATATATATTCATATCTATGAAACATCAAGGAAATAATAAATCGTAACATTATCTTTTATCTTTTTTTTTTAGCCTGAACACTTGTGCTCACCGACGTGGGTGTTAGACTTTCAGAAGAGTAATAGTTTCGAGTGCGCAACGCTTTTAGTAAGTTTACTGCTAGGACAGAGTTACAACGCGTTCGTAGTGAGTGGATATGCATCGCGCGAGCAAGTACTCTGCGACATGACCAGAAGAACCTGTCCGTATTTGCTGTCGGAGATTGAGCAAGTACCACCGTCGGTCGACAAGCCCAAAACAGTCAAGTATTAGTTAAAGGCACCACTCGATTTCAGGAGTCGATTTCTCTTAGAGTTGAGAAGATTGCGAGAGAGCAAAGACGGAGGCGAAATTACAACGACAAGAAGAAGAGCGACAGAGGATGACTGTAGAGGATCGCTGTACGTATGTGAAAGAAAGTGCCATTTTATCTTTGATATTGTTATTTAATACATTTAGTAGTAGTTGCTTAATGAAGATTTAATAAATATATCTTATATCTAATAAATATATCTTATTATTCCAAATATAACGCATGATCAGAATTTAAGAGATTCTTTTTCGTAATGGAGATAAATTAATTGTAAGATTAAAAAACTTTTTGTAAAGATTTCTCCCTCCCTTTATAGAGATTACTATACCGACTATATGGTTATGATTTATGATTACGATTTTATATGTCGATCCGCATCGCGATTATTTATTCGGTCTTATGGTCCTAGGAATTCGAACATCCACGATCCGATAAATATTTCGGTCATCGAATACACGCGTGGGTGGTTATCTTATCGGACGAAAATGGTGCGAGAAACCGATCTTCGTCGAGCCTTCCTCCGGAATGTCTTCCAACCCGGCCGATGAAGAAATTAATTTGTTGTATCTGGGAGTCGAGAGTATTTGGAACGATAAAAATTATTGGGTGAATATGCAGCCTCGCGGTATGGCTGCGCGAAAATAAATTGGGACTTGAGCAAAATCGAATTCTGGGAGCATCTGCTTCCTGGTGAACCGCGAATCGTGCGAAAAGACACGGACGAAATCGAAGAAGACATTGGCGTAAAACAAGAGAAGCATTTGGATATGCCGGTCTCGTACGTGAGTGAAATCCGAATTCATAGTTTAGGTATGTAAATATATAGATATTTTTTTTAAGTCTATTTCTTAAGCCTATTTTTTAAGTCTATTTTAATAAAAGCATTTAATAAAAACATTTAATAAAAGCACTCATCACATATGATTAGTTTATAACTTCAACTTTCTCTGCTTTTATTAAAATAGATTTAAAAAAGTAAAGGTGCAATTCAAAATAAAAATGTTGTAACGCGAGTTCCGCTTTGCATCAATGATAACAAAAATTAATATTTTAGCGCATCGTTTTCTCGCATCCGACAGTGATTCAATGGACGGTGAAAGAACGATATAGATTTTTACGATAGCACCGCGCAATTTGACGGACTCTCACGCATCGAGATGGGCTTGCTTCATTTGACTCAACATTACGTGGTTCGTGAGGATCTGATTTTATTACAGATGTTTATCTGTATTACAGATAAATCGATATTCCCGCGTTTATTATATTTCTATTTTCATGTCAGTTTCTCTCGAAAGATTCTAATACATCTCGAAAAGAAATCAGATCCTTTGAGCTGTACACGATTTTTTCTGCACGTACAAATTTTTCTCATATAATGAATATGTAACGTCATTAACGTCAATAATGTTGTATTATTTTTATTAGTATTGATAAATATTTATAAATATTGATAAATATTTTAATAATAAAAATATTTATCAATACTTATAAATATTAATAAAAATAATACAACATTACATAATAATGACGTTTTAGGTAATGGATTTGTGAGAAAAAATCAGGTATATATGTTATATAAAAAACTGTTACATATGATACCTGATTTTTTCTCACAAATCCATTACTTAAAAATTAAAATATTTTAAGACTCACCAGTCTTCGAAGCGCAGCAGCGGAGTTGTAATGAGTAATCTGTAAAATATAAATAAATTCAAATGTTAAAAAGTCGTGTCTCAAAAAATATATCTTAAAAAATAAATACTACATGTTCAACTTTCTATTTTTTTTCTTTTAAATAAAACAATAAAAAAGGATACATTATTTTTGAAAGTGATTCTTTCATATATTAGTTTTTACTTTTTGGATAAATAAATCTAATTCTCTCTCTCTCAAATTATCTAAATAATTTCAAATCAATCATTTCAATCTGTCTTACAATTAGACATTTTCAAGTATTTTATATTAAGTATTACATTTTTTCTATTTTCTAATAGATATTATTAACACCCAAATATTTTTCGTGTCTCGAAATAAAATCTGAAATATTTCCTACACATCGTATTACACAGATTGATATTGGCATTTTATTATATTATTTTAAATATTGTTCTGTGACGGTGATATTTTCTTTATTTAATACAATATTAAATAAAGAAAGTATCGCCGTCACAGAACAATATTTAAAATAATATAATAAAATGTCAATATATATATATATATAACCTAAAGTTTATAACTTATATTAAAAATTAGGAAATTTAAACTTTCAATTACAAGATTTATAAGATGCTTACCCACGGTTGCTTTGCCGTTGCCTGATGCCATCCCAGGCCTGCTCCTCCTCTCTCGCTTTCGATTCCTGGCACTAATCACAAAAATCAGATATATAAGTTTTTTCTGTTAATTATTATTATTAATAATAGTACAATAAAGGTACAATTTTTAATCTCAAAAAAATAATTATAATACGATCTCTCACAATTGCCTTGGAATGGATGAGTTCTGATTTCATTTTTTATAAATTTCCTAATTTTTAATATAAGTTATAAACTAACTATATGTGATTATTTTATAATATATTAAAAATGAATAAAATTTATAAGAAATTAAAACATAAAATCCAATCATTAGCAAATTATATAAAATTATAAAAACTTTCAATTACGAGATTTACAAGACGCTTACCCACGGTTGCCCCGCCGTTGCCTGATGCCACCCCGGGCCTGCTCCTCCTCTCAGTCCTCTTTCGCTTCGCTATCACTTTTGATTTCTGGCACTAATCACACGCGCAACACTTCGCGGAGCAGGATTAACTATTATCACTCGCGTATCGCTCTGTCTCTACATGGCTCTCCCGTAACTCTCCCGTCGATCGCGCACGACCACTAATGGCATCTTTCTATCTTGACTCGAGCTCAAACAAGAACTGTCGGGCTAATAGCGCCGAGTGTCTACCGTTAAATCGAAGGACGCAGGAATAAAAAAAACGCGTGCGAGATCTCGTTCGCGCGAATCGCGCCCGTGATACGACTGATAGTAACGCAATGAATTAAAAAATGGAGATAAAAATTTGTAGATCGCTCGATCAACTTTACGGCGACGCGCGACAACTGCGACAAGTTTCGCGGCTACCGTCATAAGCGACGCTACCTGTTGCTCCCCCCCCCCCCCCCTCAACGCCGCCATTCTCCGTACTTTTGTCTATTTCGTACTTCGAATCGAGAAAAATTTGCGATTATTATTTCCTCGTATCGCGACATGAACAAACCGCACGAGTTCGAACTACAGAGAGAATCGAAAAGTATGTTGAAATATCGCCAAAATATCATTTCGCGAACAGCGTAGCACGATGTCGGCGGGGAGGTACGCGCGGATATATATTCGAATTTTGGTCAAGAGAATCTGTCGCATTGTACGCGTCTCGCGAAATCTGTATATCTATATATATATTTTAAACATTCTCGCGATTAACGAACAGCGAAAGACAAGGCGATCGCGACGATACTTACGAGGGGAAGGCATCACCGAATGCCGTCCGACGCAGTCAACCCGCTGCGTGCTCACGCCATTTTGGTCACACGTCACGCCGTGCCCCCTCTTCCCCCCGCCCAACCACTCGCTCCGCGGACCGAGTCAAATTAGCGACTATTCGGCCGGCGAATTCGGACCGCTCGGAAACACGCGATTGAGATTCGATGTCGAGAGTATGCACGATAAATTCTGCGGAATTATTAACAAGACATGGTTACGTCGTGACTTCCCGGCTTTCGTTACGCGTCGTTAGATCTTTAACGATTCACGTTTTACTTTATTATGCTGGCGAGCGAGTCGTGTTTGAATGAAACTCGACGGGGAGCGAAATGCAAAGCAACTCGATGTCCCGTTTGTCCCGTCTATCCCGTCGTCGTCCCGAAATGTTTAATTGACGTTAACTACTAACTCGGCAAAGTGCTCGCGCTCGGCGTCCCGCTGTACTCGCATTTAACGATGCTGTTTACAGTGTTTACACACGGCACTCGGCACAGGCCACGCACTACAGACAGTCGACAGTCGACAGTGTCGACACTCTACATCCCTAGAAACACTAGCTAGGGACTGTATACATTCCGCCGTTCCGCGCCGTCCGCGCTCCTAAGTTCCCTAGATAGCGCCCTCGTTCTTCTTTCTAGAGAATATTCTCTAGAAAGCCACCGCGCTTGTCTCTCTACACTCTCTACTCTATATGCTGTATACATTCAATGGGTAAGCTAAGCTAACCGTTCAACCTAACCTTTTTCTGCCTTTCTCTTTTTCGACATATTAGCGAGTGGTACGTATCACGCGAAAAATCCGCATTTTCCACGATAATCATAAACGGAATGAGCATAATATGAGACCTGTTTAATCGTTGACGATTTTCTGGAGCGCGAAAGGGCATTATTTTTAGACAGGAGTTATAAATGGAAAACCTTGTAACCGGCGTGACTTAGATTGCTGTCTGTTGTTTCAGTGGTACGCCAAACAGAACTCAAAATGTCCATCCGACCGGTTTATCGACCCAAAATCGTGAAGAAGAGGACGAAGAAGTTTATCAGGCATCAGAGTGATAGATATAATAAACTCAAGGTGGGTATCCTTCGCTCTGTGCTTTTCAATCGCGAGAGCGTTCTGTAAAAAGTTTGGTTATACACTGCCTACACTATATATATATATATCATCATTATTTAATCTGTATTTGTTTTGTAATTTTATGTAACGTCATTGTTATGATATTTATATTTATCCATCTTAATTATTCAAACTTATTCTTTGAGAGAGATTGAGAGCTTTTTTGAATTAATTATCAAACAGTGTAAAAACTAAAAAGTATGTACAAATTGTAGACCATATTTTGTAACAATGGAGAAAATAAACGCTGAACTTTAGAGTTTATTTCCTCTGTTTTTATCAAATGGGATTAGCCCACTGTTGCATCAAGTACTTCAATTATGTCTCATATATTTTGCAGCGCAACTGGCGTAAACCGAAAGGTATCGATAACAGAGTCCGCAGGCGTTTCAAGGGTCAGTACTTGATGCCTAGCATTGGTTATGGTAGCAACAAGAAAACGCGTCACATGCTACCAACTGGTTTCCGCAAGGTCCTTGTACATAATGTGAAGGTAAATATTTAAAAAAAAAATCAATTTTCTTTTAAAAATTAATAAACTGAGATATGTGTAGATAAAGTGCTGTTTTAATCAAGTACTAAAATTTTGAGTATCAACTTCTTTCAATATGGAAATACATATTGCTCATTTGCTACGGCATAATTGAAAAATTGTCACTTTTGAGTTATTTGCAAAAAAAAAATGGAAACATAAAGAGAAAAAGAAAGAACGTATTTTAAAAGAACTTTTATTCTTCTACATCACTTATATTACACCAAAATTTCATTTCAAAATTAATTAACATTTTAATGATTTAAAACATTTAAAACTCATTTTCTGGAAAACTTTGTTTTTGAGTTGTGTTATAGCAAATGGGCGATATTTCAAGATATCTCAAAATTTTTTTATTATAATTAAAAATTCGTATTTAAATAGCATTGAGTCACCTGAGTCAGAATTATTACTACAGATAAAAAAACTAGTACATTATCTGAACCTTACTGCAGCTGTACATTTTGTTTATGTATCTCTTTTGATAAACCATAAACACAAAGACTGATTCTTTACAGGAACTTGAAGTTTTAATGATGCAAAATCGCAAGTTCTGCGCAGAGATTGCACATGCTGTTAGCAGCAAGAAAAGGAAAAGCATTGTCGAGCGTGCTCAACAACTTTCGATACGCGTAACAAATGCCAGTGCACGCTTACGTTCGGAAGAGAATGAGTAAACATTACTTTCGTGTATTTGCGTGTATTTTGGCAATAAAATATTAAAAATATATCTCCTGTGTATATTATATTCTTCTATAATTTCTCATTGGTCTCTTCAATTATTCTATGTAAATGTTTTCAAAATTAACAAAAATATCGGAATCTCTACGAATCATATACAATAGTAATAAACTTTTTCAGCATCACAAAATTTCTTCTGTGAGAGAATTACTGTCATTGATCAACTAATTTATTAATTATATAATCGCGAATAACTATACATAATAAATCATATCAATTCTATGAGACAAAAAAGTAAGGAAATTTCTGTGGGTATTTAATGTGATAGCTCTCTCTCCCTCTCGATTGAGTTTAATAATGCTTATATTTCTTAAGAAGTTATTAATTTCTACATGTTTCCTTCATTATTTTATATCTTCAATCTACATTATCCTGAAAAATTAGTTTTACATATCCTGGCGTTCCCTCGAGCGGTACCGCGCAGAAGGGACAGATCGCGATATAGCCGTTTGTGCCGTGTGGAATGGCTACTTTCTCCCAATATCTGCAAAACAGAAGAACAAACAGCGAATGAGAAATCGCGGAATGACAAATAATATACCTAGAATTTAATCTTAAAAGTGTAAAGGATTAGCGACTGACGTGCGTTACTAACTTGACAGTTTTCTCTGTAGCCATATGCCCACAGGGACTAAATGCGTAAGTGGGCGGTCCGCAGTCTACGTAAAAGGCAGGCTCTATTCCCATAGACAATTTGACTACCGCCCCTGCGACAAGGCACATGGGACATCTTCTCGTAACCTTATCTTTCTCCTGGCCCCAATCATGATGCCCTTGTACATGACCGCATTTAAGGTAAACGTATGGCTGCTGCTGCGTCGAATCTGAAGCTGCTTTACGCGGTATGACCAGTGTGTTTAAGCCCACAGGACACTGTGGCCTACCGGCGTTTATAGCGTCTACTAATTCTTCTAAATCCTGTTTCGTCTGTGAACAAAAAAACGCGGTCAGCCAATTAAATATTAAGTAAACTAAGCGATACACGATTTTATAAATTTTTTTTTTAAGATGTAAAGATGTAAATTACCGGAGATTTTGCGAGGCCTTCAGCCGACCGCCAGAGCAAAGTAGCGCCGCAGAGATCGATGAGAGTCCCATCTTGCAAAATATTGCTCTCATCCTCCACGACGCTGCCCTTCTGTTGAGCACTCCTACTTTCTCTGAGCGAGAAAACTCCGCCGCCCACACTGACCTCCCGCCAGAAACCACATTGTGCCTCGCCACCGCAGAACTGACCTCGCGGATGCATTATTAGGACCCCGTTCGTCGTAAGTCCGTCAATCTCACGATTCTCTTGCCATTTAGTTGCCTTTTCCTGCTCATTTAAAAAGATCATTTATAAAGCTTTTTTTGTCAGAGTTGGTGTATTTTAAGCTTCACGATCAATCATAGATTTCGAGTCTCACCCCTAAAAAAATGTTCCTCGAACTGTCGAAGCCCGCGGCATAGATCCTGGCGATTCTGGGATCTGATCGATCCGCCAGAATCCGACAAGCGAACCTGCTGATGGTGCTTTGAGCGACACGTCCTTCGTTAGTAGGCCCACCATCGCCACTGCCCGCACATGTGTCCATCACTACGAAATCGATAGGCGACTCGGACGAACGACCAATCTATGGATTTAAATTTATATGTGACAATGTATAAATTTAAAATAAAAATAAGTAATTTCAAGTCTCAATAGATTAAAAACAGCGAGAGTAGGCTAATAAGCTGGTTTTTCATGATAATAATTATATTCTTACATAATCGTATAAATTTGATTTTGCAAATGTTTCGGCTCGCAATTAGATTGTCCTCAATGTGAGGGTTACGATAATTTACAAAATAAACATAATAGAAATAAAAATAAATACATACAATATAAAAAAATTACATCCGTGATTCTAATGTATATATTGGCTATATAATACTGAATATACTGATCTCTGATAAAAAAATCAATAAGTAAACTAGACATAACTTTGCAAAGTCCAAGTAAAATGGAATATTTCGAGCTTACTTGAAACATGTCCGTTTTTTCATCTTCCGTATATTCGACAATAACAGCCTGTGTTCTGGAAAGTGTATACGAAATTGAGTGCTGCTTCGTGTTGAGGATGGCCTGCGAACTGTGGGGCGTTTTAACGATGTAGTGCTTGCTACGCTTAACACCATTTGGCACGGGTCGTTTGTATAATACGAATTTACTTCTTCTTCTTCCCCTATCACCAGGTGGAAGGTAACCATTGTATCTGTGAAAGTCGTCAGATAAAATCATTAGTCATTAACCTTCTGTTTTCCTTTGTTATCTGCTTGATTTTCTGGGAAATCCTTACCCAAGTATAACTAGTTCACCGTATTTCACTAATTGTTTAGGCTTTTCATGATGATAACTGTGAGATCGGTGTGGATTGCCATGTGAATGGCTGTGACTGTGTATATTGCGTGGACTGTGAGGTGCACCGACTGTCTCACCTTCTTCCACGAGCAACGGGCTCTCGCTACTACCGCCGTCGGATCTAATATAAAACACACGATATGATAAACCGTTCGCATATATATATATAGCGTGATTCTTCACTACCACTTTCCGTTAAAAATTCTTGACGATTATAAATAGATTTTCTGATGAATTTGAAGTTGATCTCTTTTTTAACAAATCTTCTGGCTGGATATATTGCAATATTTGATTGTAAATATTTTTCGATATTAAGTTTCGATAGCAATCAAGCGTTAAATTAAATTTCTTTCAAAAGATTAAAATTAAAAATTAAAGATTAAAAAATTGGAAAATTGTATTGTCTGTTTGCAGTTTTGAAATTTAATTTGCCGAGATATTTAATAATTTTATAGAATTATCAGAATTTCTTTTATTTAATTACTAATTTGTTTAAATTACTTTTGATTTTTTTTTTAATAGTTACAGCTGATAGAAGTGGTAGTGGCAAATCATCCTATACAGAATAATATGACAACTAGTGAGCTATACATTTGTTAATTCTTCGTAAAACAATCAATTTTTAGAAGAACCAACTACACAGTGATTTATGAATTTTATTAAGCCCATGAAGCAATGAGAAATTTCATTTTTTAAATTAAGATTTTTGCAGGAAAGAAAAATAAATCCTCATAGAAACAATGCAGTCATAATAGCCCTAGTTAGGAGATCGTAAGAGTAAAATGGAGGATGAATATATAATCATGTAGTACGTGTTGCGTTAAAACTGTACAAATTATACTCATTCCCTGAGTGTTTCATCTAATCTTGCATAATTGTAGCTTCCACCAAGGAACGGGAAATTTCATTGGAGATTAAAACGGGATTAATATATGTTAATAACTATATGGAAAGACATTGAACAGAAGGATGTCTGTAACTGGAAAATTTTCTGATCCCAAAAAAGCAAAAAAGATATCAGATACGTGTACAAGACTGTACAGCAAAGTTTCAGTATTTTAAGTATCTTATATTGAGCGAAATAACTTAATGTTGTTAATATATTCGCACCAAGATCAGTTGCTAATTTGTCAGATGAATGACTTTGGTACGCTTTTTTCCACAGTTTGTATTTGTTTTAGAGATAGCAGCGAGGCATTTTGAATTGCCAATTTTGTTTTGTGAGCAAAGGAAGCGCTTGATACATCACCTTGTCGCATATATATGTATATATATATATATATATATATATATACACACACATCTGTACAGCCCCGATCTATCTCTTTAGTTTCTACAAAGTGTATAATTCTTTACAAAAGTGCTTATTTTTCACTATTTTTTGTACTTTCGCACAAACGATGATGGCACGCTTCGTGTTTTCTTACAAACGGTGCGTTTCTATAAGAAAATCCAAATCGCCATCTGAACACAGGCCGTACGTGATAGAGAAGATACAATGGTTTCGTGGCTTACATTACGTAATGCGTAAACCGTGAGACTCTTACTTACCGCGAAGGGTATGGAATGCGTTTAGTTACTGGCATCCTCCTTTCAGTGGGATTTACAGACTACTAACTTCCACATAGTACTTGAAAGGGTACTTGGTAAGGACGGGCAGTCTTAAGGATCTTCACACGCGGTAGCAGACAAATCTGAGCAATTGCATTTGCACGCGGCAAGCTGCGAATTGGTAATTATGATCTGCAATGAGAAACATAATTCAATATAAAGATCATAATTAACTGAAGGAGACTCTTTTTTTTTTAATTTTTTCTATCCTGTTCGCAGGACGAGCTGCAACTTTTGCGTAATCAAATTTTCCATATCTGTGAAAGTGCGTGCGCGTTAGTCGCCCGAGTCTTTGCCTCGTAACTGCTATTGTTAACAAAGAGGACCTTAGCTTCAATTTTCTTAGCTCTTGCTTGCGATACGCTGTCATTCCTATAATTTTAATGTAAGAGACAGAGTTTCGGTAAGCAGGTCTAGAAATTAAATTAACTTTAGTGTATGTATCAAAAATTCTCGATTAATGCTGCCGCTTTGCATTTATCTCGTTTACGTTTATTTCTAAATGTAATCGGATCTTTCACAACAATACGAATTGTACGGGTATTCCTACCGACTCATCCTCAAATTTTCTCTATAGACACCTACCCACAAATGGGCCATTACGACTGCTGTTACGATAACTCAGTTGTACACGTGTATTAACTATACGTGTTACGAAAATGCTACGCAATATCCATACATTGGCTTTTTTTTTTTAAATAAAGTTGAGCAGGTAATTTGTGAAACTAAGGCCCATTTTTACCAAAATTGATTAACTTTAATCTCGGTTCAATTTATTTTTTACCTTATTCCTAGAATTAGAAGATAAAAAATAAGCTGAACCGAGATTAAAGTTAATTTACGTTGGTAGAAATGGAAATAAGAATTGTCAAGCTTCTCCACACATAACACATACAACCATTTACCAGCATGCTGCCAAAAATGTGTACACAAAAAAGCCCGTACAAAAATTTCTTTCAGATTTAAGGTTCACATTAATTGCACATATAAAGTAACGAAGAATTTTACACAAAACATAAATTTTATAACAATTAAAATTTTTCAACAAGATGTACCCATTAATCTGAAAATAATCATCTGAAATGATTTTTATATCTCGGCAATGAGAAAATGAAACTCGCAATCACAGTAGATTTTTTTTACTGATCGAGGAGAATTCATACCTATTTTTTTTATTTCTCTTAACTTTTTTATAAAATTACATAAAATAATTTCAAACACTAATAAATTATACAGCAATCAATGATATATGTAGTTAATAACAGTGACTTTTAATTGGTACGTAAAAATCATCTCAAATGATCGTTTACGCAAAGAAAATTAAGTGATGATTTCCGGGTTAATTGATTCAATTAGTTTACAAAAGTAGTTATTCTATTATGGAAATTCTTCACTTCTTCATGCGTTATTTTTTTCTGTCTCACGATGGGTGCGACAGTGAGCTTCAGAGAATAAAGTCATGCGGGTCATGCCCGCAAGGTAACTTTCGGTTTCAACAATAGCAAACAATTAGCGCCCGCGCGCGCGTCATGACAAAGGAATGAGTGTCGGCACATATTCAAACTATGATCAAAACACGCTTATCGCGCGCAGGATAAATACACAGGTCTTTCGCAACCACTTGGACAGTACCGTACCGCCGACGATGACCTAAAAAGATTTATATTTCGCCGTCATACACTCGTGCAATTGAGAATAAAGCGACTGTAGTCAAGAGCCACGGATTTTCGGCAAGGTTTCCTTGCGATTCTTTCATTGATCAACGAGATCGATATGTAACTCTATCGATTTCGCATCTACTTGCAGTAGACACATAAAATATAACAATGATGATTTTTTTTCTACTCCGAGCAATATTCTCTCTCGTATATTCATCGTATCGCGAATTAAATCTGCCGAAATTACAGTGATTCTCGTATCAGACTACGCATTGAAGATGGAAGATTCAATCAATTAGAATAAAACGGATTAAAGTTAAAATTATCCGATTAGTTAAATTCTAATTTTCCAATTCGCATTCTTGATATGCATAGTCTGATATGGGCTTTACGATATGTTTTGCACCTGTCAGCTTTCCTAGAGATCGTCTTCAAAACGGAGCCGAGTGCAAGCTACTCTCGCGGAAGTGGAGAAAAGCAAGGTCGGGAAAAAGAGGAGTGTGTGCGACGAGCGTGATCGAGAGGGACAGCTTTCCAAAAAAAAATTTTGGGCTAGCTTGAACGGAATGATGTTACTCGCGCGCACCTCGTGGGATCCTCCGTGGTGATCGTGTGAACAAGAGCCAGGGTGGACGGTCGTTCGCGGTCGAGGGGGTGAGAAAAAAAAGGAGAAATGATTCTCATGCACACAGAGTCGATAATTACTGGCACCAGTCCGCGTCTTCGCGAGAGAGATAACGTCGTCACTGCGACGGCGACGCGACGACGACGAGTAGACCTTCGCGTACTGGGTTATTTGGTAAATATTCCACGCACACAGGTGCACGTCGGATACGCGTGTATACACGCATATTCGTGTATACGCGCCAACGACGTAGTATCGGATTGCAGATAGGGAAATCGCACGGATGCACTGCGGCACGTCGATCGGTGTGACACGATTGTCCGTGCAGTATTATCGACCGCGCGGGGGAGGGAGGATGCTCCCTCCCCCTCTTCTCTCACTCTCTCTCTCTCTCTCTCTCACGTTCCTTCTCATTCTTTCAGGGCAGACTACAAGGATAAATGACAAATGATTTACCGTATCACCATTGTGGCACTCTCCGCATTCGAAAGTGACTTTGCTGCAATTTTCGGCGACGAGCTGCGACTAACGACTGTTCCTCTCCGCCTCCTCTGAGAATCACACCGCAGTTTAGAGGCAATTCTTCCACCTTGCCTACCTCTCTTTTCTTTCCCCCGAGGCAAGAAGTCCTCCGACCGCGAGTACCGATGATATGTGTACGTTGCTGGAGCGCGCGCGCCGCTCTCCACTGCTGTTCACTGCTCCATTCTCGACGGAGTCGTCTCGTTGCGACCCGTCGTGTTTACTAACGATGACGATGACGATGATCCCCGGGCAGAACGACGACCCATGATCGCGCGGCGTATCACACGAGTGTCATATCGATTACCAGCACTGAATTCCGCCGCGTTCGTTTCTTGCTCTTCCACACTCTCGGTTACTCCGCTTGTCCACAGTTCTCTCCCGTTCGATCGTCGTCACCCGTGTTGCTCAGTGCACACGTTTGTTTTGCACGTCGCGCGACGACGGACGATTCGAACGATGGCAGCGGCGAGGCGAGGCGGGGCGAGGCGAGGCGAGGCGAGGCGAGGCGAGGGCCGAGGCGAGACGGGATGATAGCTGCGCCTCCGCCGCCTCCGGTGGAGCGGTGAGGAGCACGCAACACAAGCACGCACGCGGAACAATACAACACTCAACACACAACGCGCGAGACACACGCACGCACACGCAACTTTCGACGCAACGCCGACGGCGAGTAGCGAATGGCGAGGCGAGCTCGTATATACACGGCGTATACACGGCGAGTCGTAGAGACGCTAGTCTTCGAGTCGCGCGTACGCGAGATCGCGAAATGCGTTGCCCGATTCCTCCACGGAAGTGTGAACGAGCGAAAAAATCGGATCACCGTGATCTGATCTCATCCAATGCGTTCCGTAGCGATGGACGCCATGTTGCTGCGACAGGCTACAGTCGATAGATCCGCCATTTCACTATCGATATATCGATATGACGATATATCGAGAGCACTGAGATCGAAAGCCGCCATTTTGTTTTCCTGCTAAAGGAAGGAGGTTAATAAGCTGTTGGGAAGAGAAGCGCAAGTGTCTCCTGAATAAATACTTATTTATGTAAATAATTGTTAACTTTTGTCGTTTTTAATACGAAACATTACGAAATTTGCATAAAGGCGCGTGCAGCGAGGGAGGCAGCGCGCGAATCAGCTGAGCCATCGAACTTGGAATATATAGACGGTGCCACTTTTACCAGAGGGCAGATGCTTCTGTCCGATCTAGGCGTAGTTTTTGGACGCAGCCAAGGGCAGAAGCCAATCACATTAAAGTACCTTACAACACAGTCATCGTCACTCTACTGTCTTGATGCTCGATTTTTGGTCGGGGTTCGGCATAACGGGGTTAGAATTCGACGCGTGTGAAACTGTGAAATTGCATTTTATAATTACGCCGTTCACAAGTTAAAGAGTGCGCGACAAAGTGCGAAAGTAACGATCGCGGGTACGGAATTTTCGAAATCATCGGTCGTTTCTGTACTGAGAAATATGAGCCGCAGAAGAGTACATGAAGAAGATGATGGCTACGGTAAGCGACACTTGAAGTTATCACCGTTCGCCTGATGCTTCGAATTCCGATTCTTACCGACTGTCTATGATATTCAAATAGAAAACTGTATTAATACAAACATGTTATTTTTATACCGTCTTTTTAAAAATTCTATTCGATTTAATTTATTTGATGATTTTTATACTTTTTATTTCGACACACATAACACACGCATACAATCAAGTTTTTTGCTCCAAAAATAAAAAATTTTCACTGTTGAACTTTTATTCTGTTATACATTGTGTAAGATACACGATAGAACTCTATTTATCTCTATTTTTACTCCGTTATACTCCATTTATACGAACAAGTTATGCTCTATCGATGCTGTATCTTTATTATGTATTATATGTATCTTTGTTATAAAAATCATTATATAGAAATTGACTCTTTTATACTTATTATAAAACGCATATTACACTTATAAAATTACACATATGTTCTCTGTTTTTTTTAGATCGAGTGTATAAGAAACGAAGGAGGGTATCAGAGAATCAAGAGATCGAAGATCGTCTTGAATCTCTCATCCTCCGCGTCGGGGAGAAGTCAACATCGTCTTTGGAAAGCAACTTAGAAGGTTTGGCTTCCGTATTAGAAGCCGACCTGGGTTTATTTCGAAGCAAGATTCTTCGGATTTTAACAGACTGCGCTATTAAAATGCCAGAAAAATGCACTATTTATACTACCCTTGTTGGGCTATTAAACGCGAAAAATTTTAATTTTGGCGGAGAATTCGTTGATTATATGGTGAAAAATTTCAAGGATTCCTTAAAAGCATGCAAATGGGATGTGGCTAGGTATTCTCTTAGATTTCTGGCTGATTTGGTAAATTGCCATGTTTTATCATGCGGATCGTTGATGCAATTATTTGACAATATGCTGGATGCTGCAAATGAGGATGGTGTACCGCAAGTGAGACGTGATTGGTATGTGAGAAATTTTTATTTATTGTTAGGTTCTTTTTGAACTTCTTGCGTCGTTCATCTTTCTCCTCATTTTTTTTACAACATAGAGATAAAAAGAGGGAAGATGAACCGTGCAACAAGTCAACTAACAAGAATAGGTCTTATAGCGACATCTCTATTGAATTAAACAGTTGAAGTAAACAGTCTTTAATAATTGCGTATAATAATTTACAGGTATGTTTATGCTGTTTTATCAACGCTGCCATGGGTTGGCAGAGAATTGTATGAGAAGAAAGAACAAGAATTGGATCATCTGATGGTTACAATAGAGATATTTTTGAACAAACGAAGCAAAAAGCATCAGCCGGCATTGAGAGTATGGTCGAGTGACACGCCTCATCCACAGGAGGAATATTTAGATTGCTTGTGGGCGCAAGTTCGCAAACTGAGACAGGACAATTGGGCTGAGAAACATATTCCGCGGCCGTATCTTGCGTTCGATTCGATTCTGTGTGAAGCGCTGCAACATAATTTACCACCTTTGATACCACCTCCACACCACGAATCTTATTCTTATCCATTGCCTACTGTCGTCTTTCGTATGTTTGATTATACCGATTGTCCTGCTGAAGGACCATTATTACCGGGAAGTCATGCCATTGAGAGATTCTTGATAGAAGAACATCTACGACAGATCATTAATAATAATTATTTCGAGAGAAAGGATTGGTAAGACATTTATATATCAAAAGTGTGGAAAACGTAATTTTTTTAAAGTTATGTCACTTTTGCAGCAAAAGTGCGATATATTGAAAGAAATTGATATCTTTTTTTAGTTTTTTCAATAATATAATTTATTTTATAAAGCATCGATAAACGCTTCCTCATAATTATTACTGTTATTTGCAAATTGCAATATGATAACGTTAATTATTTTTATTTTACAGTGCTGCACAACTACTAAACTTTCCATTTAAAGCAAAAATTCCTTTAGACTATTGCATTGTTGAAGTAATATTCGGTGAATTATTTAGACTGCCCACTCCAAAACATTTGGAGATCAGTTATGGATCAATTTTGATAGAACTCTGCAAATTACAGCCTTCAACTATGCCACAGGTTACAAATAATAAAAATAAATTACATGCTCGAAAATTTAATATTTTTCATTTATTATAGCATAGGACGATAAAAATAATATTTAAATTGTACTTAGGTACTAGCGCAAGCCACAGAGATTCTGTTTCGTCGTATAGACAGTATGGCGGCTACCGCTTTCGATCGCTTTGTCTGGTGGTTTGCATACCATTTAAGCAACTTTCAATTCCGCTGGTCGTGGGAAGATTGGGATTCTTGCTTGCAACGCGATGCAGAACATCCAAGACCAAAATTTATACGAGAGGTTCTACTTAAGGCTTTGAGGTCAGTATTTTATATATAATCCTGTTTTTTATATTATTTAAAGTACAATATTTATAAAATTGTGCTGTAAAACGTATAGCTTTATATCAATATACGGACATACAAAATTATATTGTGAGTTCTATTGTACATACAAAAATGCATATAAAATCATCCACAAAATTCGCATTTTTAGATTGTCATATTATCAAAGGATTCGAGATATGATGCCAGACTCGTACGCAGAATTGATTCCAGCAGTTCCCGAGCCTGTGTACAAATATTCATCTGAAGGTGCTAGTAAGTATAATGGAATAAACAAATCAAATGATGCAGCTTTGAAATTTAACGAAATATAATGTCCTACATTTTATTTCGATATCAAATTAGTTTTAATAGACGTAGAGGAGTGTAATATTTATTATTTTTAATCAACATTAGGCATGAATTAGGACATTATACTTGTAATTTGAGTCGCTAATAAGATGCAAAGACAAAACAAAGGCAAAGCTAGATAGAAAATATTTATAATATACTAACATGTTAACAAATTATTTCAGGTTCACTCCCTGGTACATCTGCAGCACACGAATTGGTGGTTTCTATAAGACGTAAATGCACGCCGGAAGAAGTACTAAATGTATTAAATACATTACCTGGTCCTAGAGAAAACGAAGAGACGAATAATTACAATCCATTGAAGATCGATGTCTTTGTACAAACTTTACTGAATCTCGGTTCGAAAAGTTTCAGTCACAGTTTTGCGGCTATAGTAAAGTTTCATTATGTTTTCAAGGTAAATTAACATCTAACTCTATAATCAAGATGCATGTGTATACATGTGTTTTTCACATAAATATTTCTTATTCATAGGTGCTCGCTGAAACAGAAGAAGCGCAGATATGTATATTAAGAAACATGTATACATTGTGGAAGAATCATTATCAAATGATGGTAGTACTAACGGACAAGTTTTAAAAAACTGGTATTATCGAATGTAGCGCTATCGCCAACTGGATATTTTTCAAGATGGCATCAGAGTTCACAAAGTTTGTATTTTGTATCTCGATAGAGTATACATTCATTTATTTTATTTAAAAATGTCAGCACTATTTATGGTATATATGGAAGAATATTAATATAAGAAACTTCCATTTTTCCAGATTATATATTTGGGAAATATTGCATTTGACAATACGTAAAATGAACAAACATGTGACGAAGTTGAGTACGGAATTAACGCGAGGGATAAAGGCGAGGGAGAAACTGAGAAGAGCGGAGAGCAGGTCGGGTTCCTCTTCGGACTAGGAGGACACTAATAAGGAGAGAAATAGAGAGAGACCATCGGAGGACGTAGTAGAACGAATGGAAGAAAAGTTGGAAGCCGCGCAAGCAGATCAGAAAAATTTATTCCTCATTATATTATTTCAGGTACAAAAGCGTGTATCACTTATATAAACAGTCCGCGAATGTCGTATTTTCGTCGATACAATATGAAAGAATTTCTAAATTCCTATTTTAGATAAGATTTAAAGTCAAATGGATTTGCGAAAATTTATGGATATTTATAGATATAGATTGATTGGAGGATCCCGTCTTCGCGGCGCACTTCGCGTCGGCGCCGTCGCGAGGTTGCGCGTAATATCGTGAATCGTGACTGCTGTAACGCGAGACCGCCGAGACGCGACGCTGCTCCGAGCCGAGCTCGAATGGACTATCGCGCCCGCGCGTAATACGTAGATCCTCTGTGTATCGCTATTCTATCGAAGTTGCTTGCCTGCAACGATTCAATTTGT